GTGCGGCGCATGCGCGAGTGTTCAAAACAGGAAGTTAAACCTGAAATTTTCAACGTGGGATTCGGATTCGCTTAGCGAGTGTGAATGCAATACCGAATCGGATTCCTTACGAAAAATCCGAATTATAGAAATGCGCATTTTGGCAACTGTAGTGTGAACGGGGTATAATTTAATTGTCATTTACAGAGGCTACGTTTAGGTGACTTGATTCTCTAATGTTATATCTAGTATAGGGTAGTAAGTTGTCAATCTGTCAAAGTGGACCTGCCCAGTTTACTGTATCACTGGGTATGAATAGGGCTGTAAGTGAAGTGAAAATAGAACAGGAAAGAGTCAGTAGACAGCAGAGACAACAAATAGGCACAGGAAGGAGTGAACTGATAGTAAATAAATAAGAAATTAATTGATAATGAAGCATAAATACAGTAATGAAACATCCTGGATGTCATCCACATTAGTGGGTTAGTCTCATTCCCACCAAGAATGGGGCTGTGGCTTGGCTGTTTCTCTTGGCAATTTTGTGGCTAAATCATAATTCTAATATGGTTGTTGATTAAAAAAGAGTACTGAAATGTAACCATTACTTTAGTTTAGTGTTTTGCAGCCTTTTGTTGAACAAGGTATATAATGTGGAGTTCTTTTGAAAGAATCTACAGACTTGAAGAAAAACAGTCTCTTTGAAGTTACCAACATCTTTGAAGTTTCTTAAAGTACAGAAAATTTAACACTTCTCGAATTTCATAATTTTTAAAAATTGACATTTTGATTCTTATGGTATAATGATACTAGGATGCTGGGAGCACCAGAGTTCACCAATTTAGATGTTATTTCTGCTATCATCGCCAAACTTCAAACGTCAGAGAATTTTTACAGGCAGTTAAGTTTTCACGTAGAGTTGAGAGGTAGTGTTACACCTTGTCCTTGGATGCTTTTTTGGCAATTTAGTAGATCCCCAGCGTGATACTGCAGCATTTATAAATGAGATCGGCATTCTGGTTTTCTGCTTTTAGTGGGGAAGATACTCCAGTGTTGTTTAACCTCTAGGCATTAAGTTTAAGAAATAGGACAAGAATGATTGCCTGCACAAAGAAAGGAAAAAGATCTTCCAGGTTGTTCATGCAGTGAATTTTTAGACACATGAAATAACAAGCTTCCAGAAAAAGATTTAAGATGTTAGAAAAATGTTTGTAAACTAAGAATTGTTAAAGTTTTTTCCCCACATAATTGGAAAAATGACATATTGGAAAAAATGGAAATTGTTGATAATGGGAAAACTGGTTAGAAAGTAAATTGTATCATTTCATTGTAGAGATGTTAAGATATTTAAAGTTCTATTCAACCAGACATGAATTATGTGGCAGGAATGATAGATGTATACAATTACTGCATAAAAAAATGTGTTATTAGCATTTTGACAAGACTGTTTGCTTATATGTCATATTTTTGATACAATTTTATTTGAATACAATGGTTTTATGTGTATTAAGGCTATCATTGGGATATTTGTAATCTCATTGGTAAAGTTTTAATACTAGCACAAATGTTTAAAACTTGCTGTTGTTACATAATTGTATCCATGCCTAGATCTAGCTGTTGGTTTCTTCATTGCAGGAGTGTTACTAGTTTTTCTAAAGAAACAATTTCCTAAATTAGAATTAGAAATAACAGTAAAGAAATATTGAAGAATTCTATATAGTCATCTTTGTGGAAGAGATTAAAAATGATGGCGTCAGCTGGGGTGTATTGGAACCACAGTACCAAATGCCTTGGCATTCCTGGACCTTTTTGTGCACACAAGTTTCTAAAATTTTCTGCAATTTTTATGGTTTTTTTAACTCATGTTTCAATTCTACTGTGTTTTTTTTTTCTGTCAGACTTAAGTTGCTATTGACCTAAAACCTGTCTGCTAGTTGATTATATATTTAAATGTACTTGGTGTCCTTTATATGTCACATGCTTTCTAATGACAACACAGTGGCTACAGGTGGCAGCAAATTGACATCACAGGTATGGCCAGTAGTTTAATGTGTACATATTAATAAGGCATTGGTGAAGTTCTGGGTCTGGCATAAGGGGCATTAGTATAAGAACTGTTGTTTTATTGTTAACTCAAGACTACATGGATCTTTGAATAGATTTTTGACAATGAAGAAAGTGTAAGTGGTTTATGACCAGGGGCTGTGCTTGGTAATTTCCTGGCAAATCTGAATATACTTGATTTACGATATCTCACATCATTTTTTGTTTAGTAATAATTGCACAAAAGAGATCATAAAGTTTTGAAAAGTAAATTTGGAAACTGTCAAAAAGTATTATTTAATGAAAAACCACAATGCATTAATCCAGGGAATGCAGTGTTACAGTATTGGACCAGTTTGGCATTTGAAGTTAGTGGAAATTTGTGGCAACTTTACCATATTTTATGTGTTTATACTATCTCTCACCTTTCACTATGTAAACTGTATTGGCTCTTTATTAAATCTTCATTTTGTGGTTAAGAGATAGGAATTGGCAATTATTTGTTCTCTGTGTCCTAATAATGGTTCCTAAACTGACTGTTGTGTACTTAAACAGTTTAACTGTTACAGTCCAGATGTTTGTTTTTGTAAATGGTAAACCTTTTTTTTTTCTTAAAGAGAATAGCCTGAGCAGAATCATTAGTGACCCATAGTTTGGCCATATGGACCGTCACTGGACTTGTGCATAAACAGTACTTTGTGTTCAGAAATAATAACTTAAAAAGAAAAAAAATTCAAAACAGAAGGGTGGGTTAAAAAAAGAGACTGTGACCAGTAGTAGCACGGAGGCATCTGTCTCAATTAATGGCTTAAGTCGGGCTCAAAATAGGCACGATGAGCCTTATGTATTGTTGACATGCAAGGTGGTTTTCACCCCAGACCAGTTAGTATTGCCATGTATGTGGGGCTGTATGGGTGCTGAGAGAGAAAAAAAGTTGGAACATATGTGGTTAGGTGTTCAGACTTCCTCTGATTACCTGATAGCAGATCACATTAGTTTTTTCAAATGATGATATTTATAGCCATGTGATTTGACAGCTGGGGATGGTGTTGTTTTTTAAAGGTTATTTTTATTGCCATGTCATGATGGGCTGTATTTTTTTTTTTTCATTTGAAAATCTTGAAAATAGATTGTGATGTGATTTTATTCTTAAAATGGCTGATTTAAGCTGTTTGCAAGCTGATAAGGGATTGAAGTTGAAGGAAGGGATTAACATCTGAAAGTCTTAAAGGTGAGAACGTTTATGCTTAGACAGGATATTAAATATTGAAATGGTTGAATTTTTTCCACATAGATGGAAAAAAAGCAAATTGTCCATTTTGTTACACATTTTCTACCCATACATTTTTGTGTTATTTTAAACTTACGAGAGAGAGTATAGCTATGGTAATGAAAAGTATTGAGGGGAAAAAGCAGAGAACATTGATGTGGCTGATTGAATAGGATTTCAACAACAAATAAGGTCTATTAGGTCAAATTATACAGTTGATAAGCTGAGATAATGTAGTGTACCAGTATGCATTCTGTTAGCCTGGCACAACATTCTGCCAGCAGTTATACAGTAGTTATACAGGCTCTGTTAGACCCCATTTCCACAGACACCATCAGTCTGCGTGGATTGATCCAACTCTGCAGGGACTCTCGCTGAGTGCAATCAGCTCAACTGAATGACACACCCATTTGTTTCCAATGTATTATTATAATCACCAGTTTTTCTGTATTCTACTTAACCCAAGGAGGAGGCATGTTAATATTTTCAAGGAATGGGGGTCAGGCGAGAGTCTCCGCAGAGTCGGGTTGAGACATGTAGACCGATGGTGTCTATGGGAATGGGCTCTTAGTTTGAGATTGGTATTACAGTGATGTTAATGGAAAGGTAGAGAATGCTTGATATTTCAAATATATCTGACATGCCATTAAAATGACCTATGCACAGTTAGAAAGCATTTGGCTTAATTCACTTTCAGGCAGTCAGTGTAAAAAAAAACTTTCTACTGCTTGTCTATTTTATTAAATGGAATTCATTATTAGAAGAATTTTTAATTGTCTTTTTAATATATGTCTATTATTAACAGTTAATATAATAAAGCTAATAAACCCATAATTAAATAAAACTATAGTTAAGGGCAGAAAATAGGACATTATCTTAAATGATAGATACATAGCTCAGATACTTCTTGTTTGTAATGCTCTTTTTAGGCATGATATTGTTTTGAATGATTGGTTGCCAAAAAAATGTTCATAATAAGTTTCAAGTAACCAAAAATATGGTAAATGCCCTGCAACAAGCATGGAGGGGAAAAACAGACATTTTTATGTCAACCAGATTTTGAACTATTTATAAATGATCAACATAATGAAAAAAGCCAGCATCAAGGCAATTTTCTGTCATTACTTTGGATAGCTGAAATTTCATCATTCTGTTTTAAAAGTGTTTCTACCATAAATCAAGAGCCCAGTTGGCATTAGGTACATAATAAGCCACAGTGGTGGGGGATCTCCCAGTCCTGAAGGCACTTCACACCTGAGAGGTTACACAACGTGATTGTCAATCTGGTCCCCTGCCAGCCTACCTGGCTCTGAGATGTTGGATGTTTTCTAGGCTTTTAGTGGGCAGGTTTGTTTGACTGAAAAAGATGTGGGATTGAAGTTGAAGGAAGTAGTGTATCTTAAAATGGCTTCCCTTAACCAGAGAGTTTGCATGCAGTGAGGGAATGTTTCTTTTCATGTTGCTTATTTTATGAATTGGCAATGCAGTGTTGTTTACAGAATGCCAGCATCTTTGTCATTAGACCTGTTTTATAGGTTAAAAGGCAGTAACAACAAAAGCACAGCAATTTTCATGATTATTTTCATGATTATTATATATTTTCTGGCCATTATCTAGACAAATGCAGCTCTTATTGTTGGGTGTCATGTGTTTACCTGTATTGCAATTTAACACACAATGACTTAATGCAATACTGTCTTTCCATTTTCAGAACACAATTACCAATGCAGACAAACTTCTTGCAGCTGCAGATGAACTTGCTCAAACCGGAGAGTGTGATCCGGAGGAAATCTACAATGAAGCACGCGACTTGGAGGAGCGCATGCAGAACTTCCTCACACGGGTAGAACAGAGGAGGAATCTCCTTGATATGACAGTGAACTTTTACACTCATGTCAAAGAAGTAAGCATTCTTTTCTTATTGCATGAAGTAGATAGTGAGTGTTGTTTATATTTATGATTCTTGCACCACCAGGTATTGTGCATTACATGTCACAAGACACAATGTGGGGAAAGCATGTTTGTATGAAAAGTCGTGATTTTTAAACAATAAATATTGATTGAACCCAAAGCAACATACGCTAGTTCTTTTGGGGAAAAAAAACAGGTCCTTGATGACTCAAATTAGAGCATCTCAAATTGAAGCAATTATCAATTCTATTGCTGTGGCATAAGAAGGTCCATTTTTCCCAGCTACACAGGCTACATGCAGTAGTTTTTAATATCTACAACCTTAATCAGTTTAAGGGTCGTAATTTTGATCCACACTATGTCACCATTTCTAATAGAAACAATGTTTCATTTATTTAGCAGAGAAACTTCTGTACTTCTTGCTTTTAAAATTACTTCATGAATTATTTGATTTGAATTGTAGTTGTCCACTCTTGTTGACAAGATCAGGAAGAAGTCATGATTGGGCATATCATTATTACAGGCCCTTTGGGCCAGTAAGGGTCAGATATTACTGATCTAGCTGAAAATCACTGGGATTGGGTCATTAGTTATGCATTATACTGTTTTATGGCACCAGGAATTGACAAAAATAGGGATAGAAAAAAGATATAAAGAAAAAAATATGGACATATCATATTGAATTGAAGCTGTACCTCAGGTGCCATTTAAATCTTAAAACAATATTTTATATTCAAAAGAACATAGCTTCTCAGGAATGAAAGTTGAGGTACCTTGAATTGGAAAAAAAAGTTTTTTTTCTGCAAAATGTTCACCATTTGCTTCTCTTCACGTAATTCCAGTTAACAGATTGGTTTGATGATCTGAAACAAGAGCTGCAGAGTTCTGAGGTAGCAGACAGTGTGGAGGGAGCAGAGCAGTTGCTAGGCCAGTTCCACCAGCAGAAAAGTGCCACAGAGGATGCTTCCATAAACACACTTTGTGAAGGAGAACATTTACTAGAAGAGCTCAGGTAAACCACAAGGAGGATTTGAAAGGGGGAGGGGAGGGGGTGGGGTGGCTGGCTTAAATTAAATAGTTTTTTTGCCTCTGCCAAGGATGATATGTTTATGCCTTTGTTGGTTTGTTATTTAACAGCCTAACTCGAAAAGTAATGGACAGATATTTGTAAAAACTTAGGTCAGAAGTGGGTTTATCAATTGTATTTTAGTGGTGATCTGTTTGTTAGTTAATGCTAATGACAATGAGCTCCTTTGGTGGAGGCCTGCCCTCTCTGTGTGGATTTCTAGTTTGTGCAGTAATAGGGCTGCTGGATTATAATTCATGTAATAACTATAAGAACTGTGATGCATATAAAAAATAATAATGAAAATAATGTGATAATGAAGTAGTTGCGATGTCTGTTTGTATGGGTAGTTAGTACTTCTACCACCCTTTTCTATCTGATATTAATAGTCAGTGAATAGAATAGACAAAAAGATTGTAGCAGCCTGTAAGTACTGTTGCTTATCATTAGGTATTGTCAACCAATTCTATACTTACAACTGTAAGTTAAGAATAGTACTTGAAAAAATGGAGGACATCTATACAACATTGTACACATTCATTGCATTATAAATTGATGTTGCACATGGTTCACTGAATCAGTTCCATACTGTATAATCACTCTTCAGTACAGCCTTTTATCTCGTGGTAAAGAATATTATTAATCCTGCTTACGACTTGTGGAATAATACTTTAAGTTAATGCATACTTGGATGAACACAAATGTATTCATGGTAATATGACTAGTAGGGATTATGGGTTGATTTGTAAATGTGAACAGAAGCATATGTTTTGTTTGACTGGCATAACTATTGGTTTAAAAATAGATAAAAGCTATAACAACTGCAAAAAAAATATGAATGAACTGATATGTGGGGTTTCTTTACTCCACCCTGTCAGCATTTACTACAAGTTACTAGAGGGAAATATGTTCAGTGGATTTCAATTATGAACAAATAATAGTGCTTGTTTGGGTGTTTTATTTAATTAAAAGTCCTGTTGCAGGGGAAATTGGATTGAATGGCCTGCTATTGAATAATCCTATTTGTGCATTGAAGTGATATCAAAAGGAGAAATTGGCTGCAGTCAGTGGTTGATTTTTTGGAATTGCTTCTTTAACAAACATTATCACACTAAATCTTGGTGTTCGTGCAATGCTACAACTTGGGAACTATTTTCACTGTACCATCTACTATTTGTGATTTGTTGCAGCTGTCTAAATATTCTGTACTATATTGCAATATTGCATTGCTTTGGGTTTCAGAAGTATTTATCAAAAAGAAGATATGGCAGACAATGGAGATTATGCCCAGATTGAAGGTAAGGAGCATTTTTACATAAGACTATATGTTTTACTGGTCACTTTGTATGGTAATATCTCAGAAATAATATTTTAAAAATTTTCAATTAATTTTATACAATCTATGATAACTATCTTATTGCTTCTATGATAATGCTGATATTAACAGATCAATTGTTACAAAATTCTTTGACAAATATAAGTATATGGATGAGAATTTATTAAGACTGAACAATTGACTGCTACTGAGATATAATTTAATAATTTTGAAAGCGCTAAATTGTAAAAAAAAATTTCTTGTTCAGAATTTTCTTTTTTTCCCAAAGGGGTGATCAAGCAGTTGGATGACAGTAGAAAACAACTGGAAAACTTATGGAATGCCAGAAAACTAAAACTTGACTTGTGTTTACAACTAAGACTGTTTGAGCGCGAGGCACTGGAGGTGTCGTCGCAGTTAGAGATGTGGTCAGAGGAGTTGCAGCACGTAGATCTGAGCACGGATGCACATCATGCAGAGCACATGTTACAGCTGCACAACGAGAGTGTCATGCACATGCAGAACATCACCTTTGAGGTATTGCACAGAGGACAGGAGCTTTGCACAGTAAGTGTAGTGTGGTGGTAGTTAGGTTGGAAAGAACAGGAGGACTGATCGTAAAACACAGACTTGTAAAAATCTCAGAAACCTGGATATACTGGGTTGTGCCAACTGTAATGGCTTTTTATTCCCTTCTAGGTATCTTTACTTCATATTATGATGGAAAAGCAGATCATGTTTGCATGTATAATCAGGGGCGGATCCAGAGATATTTCTGACAGTCTTCCAAATTATCATTGTTGATCCATCTTCCATTTTTGACATTTTTGACATTTTTGACCTGTCTTCCGACAGAAAACATTAGATGGCTGACAATGTAAACTTGAAAATCTGACCGTCTTCCAGAAGACCCAGAAGACGGCTTAAATCCGCCCCTGATAATCAAGTTTGAAGGTGCTCAAAATCAACCTGTTTTAACTTTTTGAAATAGGACCTCGAATTAACCTTTTACAGCTTTTGTGACCAATTGATTTTAAAATGTTTTTTTTTCTGAAGGCTAGCAGCATTTAGGTAGTTTTTTGGGGGCCAATTGATCCTTTGGACCTAACACCTTTGTTGATAAACTGTGCACAGTGTTTTAGATACAAGTAAAATGTATTTATAGGCATTCATGTGTTTGGATATAAGACTGTGTCTATGTTTTAATGCCAACCTCTCTGATATTTTAGGGTAAGGCTGTTTATTATTGTCTATGCAGGTAGATGTTTGAGTTTGTGGGATTTGAGAAGAGTAACAAGATGGATTTTTGTGCTAAAAGAATTCCTTTTTTATCAGGGCTAGTGTTATTCAGTATATTTTTGGTTGGTGGTTGCATATCTTGTTGAGGTAAAGGTAGATGGTCTGCTTCTTGAGAGAATTTTACTTTTAAATTGCCAGAAGTAGGGATAAGATCAAATGTTGAAAGTTGAGTGCTTTTGCTGTTACTGATTGGACTGTTGATATTTCTCAATTGTGCTAGTTGAGATTTATTTATTGCACACAATCATGGTTGGCAAATTGCAATACATGCTTGCTGTGTTATGTCATCTGAGATGTGACAGTATGGAAAACAATTTTGGAAACGAGTTTTTTGAGAAATTATTCATACGAAAATAAGAAGATAAAATAGAAGCACTTTTTAAGTAAGGACATTTTGAAAACTTCAAGAAAAAAAAAAAGCATTGCCTGTTTTCTGCACTGAGTTGGTTCTGTTCTATATCAAGTGCACTTTACTTTGGGTTCACTCTGATAGAAATATCACCAAAGTTCCTGATTAAGCTTGATTTGACATTCAAGGCTTCACTTGAAGTTGATAAAATAAGACTCGGCTTACAGTCTGGTCAAAAAGAGATAGTAGTTCTTGTAGTTGGAGTGTTGTGTTTCTCTCTCAGAGCTGTGGCAAACCTCTGTGCATGGTATGTCTTCACTGCCTTGTCTGACCATACTTGGCTTTGAACATGGATGATATTTCTTGTTTTCTGCAAGACACGGGTAATTTTTGCTACAGAAAGTTAGACTGCGGTTCCTCTTCTGTAGCTTTAGGCTTTGGTTTTATTTATTGGAGCACCACTGGCTTTTGGCACCTCCTAGTTCCAGTCTGTCTGCAGCTTTCCTCCTCATTGCAACGCTTTTGTAAGAAATCTGAACGTGAACCATCTCCATGAAAATTTGCTGATGTGTTTTAATAATGAATATTAGGATTTTACCAAAGTGCTGAGAAGGGGCCAACTTGGATATATTCTTTACGTATACTCGGGGATACTGACAAAATTTGTTGTTGGATATGCTGATTGAATTTTTGTGAACATATTGAAAGCTTTGGGCGATGTCAGTGACATTTACTAGTGCCTCCTATATTGTGGATATGCTGTGACATTAACAGCTATGTGGAAAACAATAAGAAAAATTCACCTAGTGCCAGTTTTGTTTGCCCTCTCTGCATGGTTGTGCGTTCTTATTTTAGGGATAGGGTTAATTTTTCCTTGAATAAATCACACTTTTATGTTCAGTTGGAAGTGCTCTGTTTTTGAATCTTGTAAATATGGAAGTTATGCTCAGCTTATTGTTATTTAATACTTTGTATTGAGATTTATAACTTGTGTCATCTTTTCTAGCTGTTTGAAAACTCTGGCATCCAGTTGATGGCTGATTCCCAATACGATGCTCAGACCAGAGTTCAAGTTCTGCTAGAGTATCTACACGAAAGGGAAATGGATCTAGAGGACATTGCTGAAGCAAAGCGCATCAAGTTGGACCAGTGCGTTCAGCTGCGTCATTTTGAAACAGAGGCACGACAGGTGAGTCTCTAGGAACGTTTCTAAACCAATACAATTAATTTAGAGATTTAATAAACTATTTACAGAGGGAGGTTTGGGGGGGTCTTTATTTTTGGCCCCCATATGTAGAGGAGAAAACACGGTAGGTGATCCTTTAGACCTGATCTGGATATTAAGGATAACTTGATCCTTTGGAAGATGAATTTCATTGAGAATGGTTTATTGGACACCCGAATTGACTTTGCTAGACTGTCAGCCAGGATGAAGTATTGTCAGCCATGATTGAGGACTGTCAGCCAGGATGAGGTATTGTCAGCCAGGATTGAGGACTGTCAGCCAAGAAGGAGGAATGTCATCCAGGGTGGAGGACTGTCAGCCTGGATGAAGTATTGTCAGCCAGGATGGAAGACTGTTAGTCTAGACAGCCATGATCTGAGTTCAGAAATTTCAGAGATTTTGCAACATCTACTCCTGAAACCCACTCAGATGCCCTTGTAAAGAGACAAGTAATTAATTGGTAATATAATGAAGCATGTCATATGAATATCATAAATGTTATTGAATTTTTTTAATATTGAGTACATATGATTAGTGAAGTTGAGAAAAATTTTATGTGCACCAGTCTGTCTGCACTCAAAGATATCAGCTATTGGTAAGAAGTAACAGCTTGGGTGAGCCATTTGGAAGAAGTGGTACAACTTTGGTACTCAAGTGTATTCGCATTGTTCTTGGAAACTAAAATGTGGATTGTTTGAATACTGGCTGTGGCTGTAAGTCATGTTGGAATGCAAATACATTTTATAATAGTTTTGGATAAATTACACCCAGACTTCAAATTGAGATGTTGATAGCATTTCATTTTGGCAGGATATATAGAGAATATTTGGCTATGTTTATCATTATAGTTTTTAATTCTGTGTATAGACAAACTATGGCTAGACAAGTGGCAGCAGTGTATTGCCTGCCCACAGAGTGTTGGTTGTTATCATTTGAAAACCTGCTGGTCACTGTATCAAGTCTGAGCCGTAATAAGAAGCAAGCCATGCTGTGTGAAAAATGTTGAAAAATAAATTGAAGGTCATATGCACTAAAATGTATACAGGAGAAAAGATTTGAGTGCGTTTGATAAATAGAAATGTTGGTCTCTCTGGCTCAAAGTGAGTTGGGCAATGTGGCTTTTCTGATATGAGATAAATAGAGAGTTGTTTTGACTGCTGCAAGGTATAAGTATGCAGCTTTGAAAAATTCCACTGTCTGCCATTTGATTACTTCATAATTTTGGGGAAGAGATATTAGCTGAAAATATAACAGTACTACAGTTATTGCCTGTGATGAGGTCTCATATCTAGGAAGTGGTACATTCTGTGAGTATTTTCTGTATGTAGCTTGTTTGCAAACTTGAAACATTTACTAAATTATTCAAGAATGTTGTTTTTGTAGGGAAGGAGTCCCTGACTTCTTTGATGTAAGATGCATCCTTCTTCTGTTTCATATACAGTTTGCTCTTAAATATTTTTGTAAAGATAAGACAAATGGAATCTTGACTCACACTTTGCATATAATTTTAGTTCATCTTTAACAGTTCTTATTCGGTTTTGGATCTTCTCATTTGAGTTTTCTGTTATGATCACAAATAAACATGAAAGTTATATAATAAAAAAAGAAGAAAAAAAGACAATAGAAAAAGCATCATGTTATTTTTAGGTGTATAAAAGTACTTTGATAGCCAACAGCTAGGGAGAGATCTTTACCAAGATAATTGATTGCCAACACGTCAATGGGGCCGTGGTGCGCAGTTTTCTTTGGCAAATCAAATTTTTAGTCTGTGATTACTCAAAAATTCCTCAGTGAGATACTACATGCCATTTCACCTTTTTAGCATGCCTAGGATGCCCTGATTGGTTCAAAATTCAGTAAAAAAATTGAGAAGCCGGATGTCTAGCATGGGGTTGAATATTCCCCGTACAAATGGCAGGTCAGCTAACTTGTCAAAACATAATTTCACATTTCAAGGATGAAAGGTTTCACGGGACTGGGATGTAACCTGTGCTGCACTCCAAGTACCCAGCCTTTTGTTGGAGAGAAAAAATCTACAAAAAATCAGGACAAGTGCCAGTTTCATTGACTTTTCTCAACAAATTCACACTTTTCACTGAAATACAAGAGCAAAGAGATTGGATTACCAGATATATTAAATAGCAGATAGGTAATCAGGAAATTATCAGTCTGGAGAACCATGCTTCATTGAGAACCATGCCACATTGATTTGTGTCTGTACACGGAATGATGTAATGAATGTTGTAATAACATAATAACAATGGATTTGGTAGTATGGCAGGCCCTGTGTGACTTCACCCTTTTATCACTTAAGGTAAAAAAAAGATTTATGCACATTTTTGCAAGAATGTTCAAGGGAAGTGCAATGTTTGCATTCATAGATTGACAATATTAAATAGTAGGAAGAGAAATTGATAGTAATTTTTCCTCATTATTCTGTGGACTTTGTTACAATTTAACTTGGGGTGGAAATGCAAGTTGGAAATGATACAGCAAAAAGAGGGACTTGTTAATGAAGAGGTTAATTTTCTGGCTTATTTTTTTTTGAGAATGCTGACTGGTTTCTTTAGCCTCTATCGTATGACGTGTGTTTGAAAACTGATTTAAATTGTTGAATTCATGATACAGCAATACTATTTTGACATTATAAATGGACTAAAGCATTGGTATGCACACATGACTCCATAGCATAGATGGTAAAGATATGTAAAAAAAAGACTGATATGTTAAAGGTTAATCATGCACATTGAAATGTGTGTCTAAATGTTCTTGTGCTATCAACCCAAGTACTTCCCTCAGCATGCACATAGAACATTATGTATTACAGTCCAGGAAAATTTTAATTAAAGTTACACAGGTGAGAAAACTGCAGGAGTTAAGAGTGATTGTTAATTTTGATGTAATATTACAGCCATTAGAGGCAACCTTCTCTTTGATACTCCAGTTGTGTAAGTTATTTTCATGGTATAAAAATATACTCAGATTAAGAATACTCATTACAGGAGAGTTGAGGGCAAGGAAGGGTCAGTCTGTGCATTTAAGCCATTAATATAGTGGACGGCATGATTTCAAATTTTTAATCATTACTTTTATAGGGAAAAGGGACAATTTGTTGATACAGGTAATGCACTCATCTCTGAAGTTGAAAGTTTGTCCCTTTTGCCATATGTCAGTGGTGAGAAATGTGGGTGGGATGCTTTTTGATATTGTTTATTTTTTTGGACATTCTTTTTAATACCTCAGTTCTCATATATAGCACAATGGTCATTGCTTGCATTCTTACAATCACCTATTAGAAACTAATAATAATTAGCAGGTGTTGATCAGAGAGCCCTTTGGAGTTAAACATGGGTAAGGTTACCATTGCAGGTGTCTGGAATACATATAACTGAATGGCAGCTTTTCAGTTATATCGCCATCAGTCATTGTTCTGCTGTTAGCGCCCATTGATGATTGAAGTTAATGTACTAGAGGATGAGTGGTGAAAAGGAGCTGGATGCGAGGATATTAAACCAGTCCTCAACACGCAGCCTTGTGTACTCTCTGCATAATAAGGGGCAAATACATGGATATATATTGAAAGAAAGGACAATAGGATGGAGTGAATGCGCTGTAAAAAGCTGCCTTAAAGAGAACATCAGCACTGAGTCCCAGGATTGATTTCTGCATCAAGTATCAAATCCAACTTTATTCCGTCCATCTCGTAGAGTAATTATTGACCTAAGTGGGAATGACTGTTGTCTTAACAGCCAGAGACTGGACATAAGAGCTGAAGAAATTGCCGATAGGCAGGCGAAGGACCTACATGTAACACACTGTTGTTCCTGTGGAAATATTCCAGGTTTAAGAGTTAAAGGTGTTTGTGTCACCAAGTAAGGTGTCGAGACCTGTGATAACAAGGTGTCCATATTATCAACAAGGTTGTGATACTTGTGAAAGTCGCGGGCGGATGGTGTAGTTCTTGTGCTTCATCGGGTTTACTCAGACCGTGATGGAAAATACTACTTGTGTACTTCTGTGATCAAGAATAGGATTGTTCCAGTGGTTCAGCATAAGTAAAATTATGAGAAGCCACACTTCCCAGTTGTCTCAGATATGTCTTAAAAGTTACATGACGGGATACATAAAAATTTGACAAGGAAAAAAAAAAAGGAGGACCTAATGTGTAGGTCTTTTCATGTCTGTGTAATGAGAACAGTGAGCATTATTCTTAACCAAAAGCTACACCTGACCCTGTCTGATGGTAGACTGGGATAACACACCAATAAGGTTGAATGTCCTCTCATATGAGAAACGGCATCAGTCCCTGCCAGCAGATGGTGTTTGATTTTCCATGCTTTTGCCATATCTGACAACTGGGCATCTGTTCACTGTGGTGGTGAGGTAAACTCCTGGATTGATGGGGCCTAGCTTTTTTGTGTCACATCATCGTATCTGCACTTTGAGCAGCTACAAAGGGGAAAACTCTTGGATTGATGGTCTTCATCTTGTTGTTGAAAGTTCTGTGAATAATGATGATTTTTTAACAAGCATTTCAGAGTATTCAGCTGAGGTATTTTGAAAAGGAGCAATGTTGTGATACCTTATTTTTCAACTCAGAGATGTTAAGTGGCTCGATGAACTATTATTATTATTATTATTATGTTAAAACTACATGGCAAGTTGCTAGCTGATTTTCTTAAGAGGAAAGATTTATGTGCAGATGGGCGTTGTTTTTAATCTTCAGATGCTCTCTTGATGCATATCAATGACTGTTATCATTATTATAAGAACCTAAATGCATATATAACATGTGCTTTGGAAAGCTGGCTAGAGAGACGTATTTATGATATAAAAACACTGTGGAAATGTGATTTAAGGTGTAATGAGAAAAATGGAAGTGATAATTTTTTATAACAAAAAATGTTTTTCTGTCAATGTTTTTCGAAAGGAAAACTTGTGGTTTGATTTGTGTGTACTAAATG